TGGAAGGGAGGTGGCTTGAAAATGGGCAAATCTCTAGTCTACTGGAGGTTGGTGCAGAAACAACTTTTCGATGAGTGGAAGAGTAAACAGATGAGAATCCCTGGTCTGTCGGGGTTGATCCAGAACCGGCTTTTCCCTACTACTTCTGGGGTTGACAAAGTTCCGTTTAGGTCAAATATGTCGTTCTCAACTGTATTTATTAACTAAGGTCAATGTAGCTTCCAAGCAAAATATTTATTATCAAATAGAATCTGAATTTACTCGAGATCGAACGAACAACCTTTTTGTTAGGACACGAGCATTATTTTTGTATTTTATTATTACATTAAACAACACGATTCGTCCAGCAAGGTGCGTCCATTCTTCTGACATTCTAAACTAAGTATTTTAGTTATTACTGCAACACGTTTCCTTATTTCTGAAAAGTTGCACAGATGTAGGCGACATAAGTTGTCAGATATACGAAGCGTAAGAATTAAATCACAAGAGTTAGTGAACTTCTTGGAGATTCCGTTCAATGATGATGTCGACTGAACTTTGTAACAAAATAGGAGTTTTAAAATATATATTTTTTAATATGTTTTCGCTCATATTGTTTTTAATGTGTTAATTTGTCCCTCAAAGTACACTGTGTTAAGTGTTCAAAGTAAAAACTGGCCTGATATTTTTCAGTTGCAGGAAACTAATATCAAATTTCAAGGTATCTAGTATTATTTCTGAATTTGTTAGGGATAAAGTCATGAGATTTTCAAAATGACAAAGCATCAATTATTTCCACTGATTTTGCACATGTTTAAGTACTTTTTTGTGAAGCTTCATGTTTAAATTTATTTTGAATGTAGTTCTAAAACTCAAACTTAGTAAAAGGCTAACTAGCATGACTTTCTAGGACAGAAGGTTTTGGGTTTGGATTTTCTTACTTTGCCGTTGTTATAAATTCATTCACTATTAGTAAGTAATACAGTGTGCAATTTATTCCGTGTCTTTAAACAAACGTACCACTTTTTATTAAATATTATAATAAGCTATTAAGTATATTATTCTTTAGATATATGATTTGAGTTTTAAAGTTTTATTGACTAGATAAATACTGAACTAAAACCAAATGGAGCTGTTTGGTCTTGAATTATATAACTTTTTTTCCATAAAACGTAATCAAAACTAATATTCAAATGTAGTGCATCCTAGATGGTTATAACCTTATGATCTTGTTAATGGACTTAACTTATTTTGGTTCTCAGAAAAAAAGGTTAGAAAAGGGCATACTTCGCTTCCATTTATCATGGATCCAAGTAGCCCGATTATGTATGTAAAGTTAACACGATTATGTGAACGGTTGCGTAAACTCAAAGAAAGTTACCACTTATAATCTAATATAAGAACTGCAGTCTTGCAATCAACAGGCTGGAGGGTTGGCGTTATTTTTTACTATTTACTGAATTGAAAGTTTTGCCGTTCCTCAATATCCAATGCATTAAAACTTTGTAATTTCCTTAAACTAAGATAAAGTCCTTACGAACCTAAGTTTCACTGTCGCTGTAACAATGGTATTTAAAAACTAATTTTGTAATGTGTTTTCGTAGTTTAAAAACTCGGGTTTATTCTGTCTGGTTTCTTTAAGTTGCCGTTAAATGAATGTCTATACATTTAGTAAATTATTATTATCTTGGTTTCATATTGTTCTTACTGGATATAGAAATAATAAAATTCTCCAATGAGTTTAACCTGAAGATCTTTAAAGCCTGAGGCTGAGTGATAAGCTAAATACTAAACAATCCTTATGGTAATTTTAGTGTTTAACATGTTTTGTTAATTTTATAAAGTGAAAAACAGACGAACAAAATTAAACCAAATTGCATCATTCTTTAGAATTTTTATAAATACTTAGTTAAATTTCTATTATTAATAGAGTGTATTTTAATATAGTAAATATTGTATTAAGAATGTTTATATTTCTATTAATTAAGTTCCAATCAGAAGAAGGTTTAATTAATTTACTACAATAAATACTTTTTCTAGCCGATTTAATCATTTTCCAAATTTTTATGGTGTGCTCATGTATAAAAAAGCCTAAAGTAACAACAAGCTGATAAGAAAACTTTCCTACAAGATTTAATCAATCACTAGGTCTCTAATCTCAGTATAGAAATCATCATTCTCTACAGGCGCAATATTGCAGTCCGAGCCTGGCCAGAATTCTAAAAACGCATAATGATGATTTCTTGATCAGCTTTACTTTACGTAAAAGCACAGACACACATTTGTAGAGCTAGTAGTAGCAGTTTCTAATTTACTTTTAGAAACTAACAAAGCACTGCATTCTGTTTAGTTTTCTGTGTCACCGCTTTACAGCTCTCATACTTGTCTAAGCAGAACCCCTTTAAATATTTGGTTTTCACTCCATCACTTGAAATTCTTACGGATAACAGGAATTTATTTTGATATGGCTACAAACACGACTTAATTTTCAATGTATTTCCGAGAAACTAGCAAGTAGAAAACAAATAAATTTAAATATACCTCATGTACACTGCCAAGTCAGAAAAGCATGAAAGCATGAAAATTACCACGTACTACCACGTACGTAGATCATGTTTTTCTCATATTAAATAAATTAACCATTGCCAGGCTTTCAAACAAATTCAACCTTTGCTAGTATTTATTTCACGTTTATAGATTTCCTAAGGTCTTGGACTCAAACATCATTATGCACATATCTAATCTGTTGGGTATGCGGAATTGGCTAACTCTGGAACTCGCTAACACCATGTTAAATTGTTCCATTTTCATAAATGATGTCTTCGTAATATTTAAAACAACAATGTTACAAATACATTTTCGTATAAAGCGTAGGAGACAATATACCAGCCCAACTTTATGACATTCGAGGATTTTAGAAGCATTTAGAAAAATTTGCTCGCACAGCAGCTTAATTTGGCAAACCTTTTACTAATGGGGGAACTTGGTGTATTTTACTGCAAAGGTTTTTCTGCAGATTATGCTATTATTTGTAACCATATATTCATCGTAAAATCTTAATTTATGTTGATATTGTTTAATGATACAACCGTTAAATTTTACTATGCTTTTTTCTTATATTAAAGTGAACTAGTAAAATACATCACCACTTTAACTTAGTTTATTGGGTAAATTACCCCATGGTTAATATGTCAGATATTATTAGAGGGAACATTTTCAGATATTAAAATATAAGACACTAAATATACGAAGGGCTGTGACAAAAAAGTGTTGTACGTAAACACGAAACGGTTCACAAATACAGCGCTGTTTGAATAAACTGTCCCCACCACGTAAATACATAGCCGTCACTGAACTGATGATTTCAATCAGATGCAAAATCAAACCAACACCGAAAATAAAAGTACAAGTGAGGCGTCGAGAGGCCAAGGGAGATATGTGACTTTTTAAAAAATGTTGTCATGGTAACGGGTTTTGTTAAAAAAGGGTGGAATTTCAACAAATAATTCACTTATATCCCTTGGCCTCCAAACTAAACACCTAAGAGTTGGAAGCCAAGGGGTATAAGTGAATTTATTTTTATTTTTATTTTATTTTTTATGACTATGAAAAAAATACAATGACATTTTTTAAAAAGTCACATATCTCCCTTGGCCTCTCGACGCCTCAAGTATAATCACTTCAAATATTTTTTTTTTCAATTACTTAATAGTGTTTGGGCTTATTACTTATAAGTAATAAACCCATTTTTTTAATTCTACCTATCAAATAAAATAAATAATATTTTTTCTTTTCTCGCTTTGTCGAGAACATCGAGGTTTCATGTTTTTACTGACAGCTGTGCATGATGACATGATATCGATAGTTATACTTATTTATGTTTACAAAAGGTATATTGATTTTTTTTATTGAATATAGTTTTCTCTGTTGGTGAAAATAAATTTAAGATCTGACACTAAGATGTTTTTTTATCTTCTGGATATAAGCTAAAATCAATGAAATTTGTAAATAAATTCGAAATCTTTGATAATATTGTTAACAGCATGTTTAAATATAGGTACTTTTCAGTAATAAACTCGTTTTACAGTCAAGGCATTGTTTACATTTTTAATTGAATGCATATAATGTGGTTAATTGGAGTATGTTAGATAATTGGTCGGTTTTAACTCTAATAACATTAAACTCTGTGTAAATTTAATTTTCCTCATTACTAGCAGACTAATAAATAGAATAGTTTAAATTATTTGCACTAGCAAAGGAAATGCTCAAAAGGGTGGACTCAAAGTACAACATGATTATAAAAGCGTCACATTCAGCTTACTCTGTAAAGTAAACATGATTATATAAATCGTTGCGTGTTTTCAAAGATGTCAAAAATAAACTTCAACTATGTCATAACGGAGGTTGAAAACCTACTTAACGTTGAAGTTTTTTTTTTACTTTCCACTGCATTGAAAGTTGTGCCGTTCTTTAATCTCATAGTGCATTAAAACTTTGTAATTTTCCTAGACTTAGACTAAGTGCTTGGTGGTATATTTTTTAACTTCATTGTAGCAATGAATATCTAATAAACAATTTTGCTGTGGGATTACCAAGTTTGTGAAATATTAAAATTTATTCAGTTTTTATTGCAAACTACTTTGTTTAGTGGATAAACTTTAATTTTTCCAAAATAGTTATGTGTAAAATGCATGCAAAGTCATTAGAGTAATTTTACTAGAAAAGATTTGTTTGGAGTTATAAAGTTTATAAGACTAATATTGTGCGCAACTGCGCGATACTTAATCTCTGGTCTGGAAACTCCTTATTCAACAGTTCAAACATGACATTGATATTTATTCATTTTATAACCTGTGTTCGCTTCGTGACATGACCAATATTCTTTTTTAAATTATTAACTTTGAATTTAATGTCCTAGTCTGAAATTTTTAAAACTATATGTAATACATTTGTTGGTACTATTGTGTTGTATACGGTAAAAATAAGGTGTTATATTTTTGCAGAGAGGGAAACAAAATAAATCATTATAAATCAATGTTTAATCATCAATTACGTGTAACAGCAGTTTTACAATAAAACATGTTTTACTTTTTAATAGACAAAATTATAACATTCACCACATCGAAGTCTTCCAAAAACATTACGAATCTTATCACTTAATATCATATTTTAGCTAATTCACCGTGAGAGGTTATTAAAATTAAAAATGCAAAACTATCAAACTTAAATTATTTTTAAAATTTCTAACAGATTTTTGATAAATGTAATTTTTTACATTCTTTAGTAGAAAGCTACATCATAATGCCTCATATTTCCTGCTAATGTATCGAAAATTTGAAGTTTTATATCAAGGATTCTTTTATCAAGTTTATCATAGACTGATAGTGAAAAATGTCAGCAATTTTAAAACTTTTATACGAAAGTACAGAGAAAACGTTAACCTATCTATTCACAACGAAAACCGCTAATAAAAGATTTACAATGTGAAATAACCCAAGTGTGAGAGTACAAAAATCTACATTCAGCTACATCTTAGGAAAAATAGTTTATACAAGTATCGGTTGTTATACGTAAATCTTGAACAAGCACAGCCAGATTCAATGTTATCTTGAGCTCAAGAGGTTTATGATGATGAGAAGCAAGTAGAAGCAATGGCAGGGGAATGCCACTGAGCCTCCCCCGTGTTGCATCGCCGCTGGTGTCTCTCCTGAAATAGTATCAAGAATGTTTATTGAAATAGTTTGAAGGTTTTATTGCTTCAGCTTTTTTTAGCTTGGTACAGGGTGGGCAACCTTGCGTATTTTGGTACTCAACAAAACAAAATGTATACAAACTAAATTGCTTTTCCTTATATAACACACAGAATAGCATTAGAAATGTATGTTTACTTAAATTTAAATTAATAACTAATGCTTATTTATGTTTTGTAATTTATGTGCACATAGATCCATTATTATGAGTGCACGGTCTCAGTTGAGTTTTAAAGACTTTATAAGCTCTCCACTGCGCAGTGCGCATCCACATTTGTTTTTGCAATAGCGAGGCAAATGATGTATTTTGACTTATTAGAGCACTTGGACAATCTTTGTAGACCAATGACTTGAGATAACCCCATAGAAAGTAGTCACAGAGGTATAAATTGGAGGGCCACGCAGACCAATGTATATCGCATCACAAAATGATCCGCCCTGAAAAGTGTTGCTGCAAAACTGCTATTGACACTCGTAGTATGTGCTATGGTGCTGCACTGCTGAAGCTGAAACTACAATTTTCCCACTCAAGAAGTATACTTGGGACGTGTAAGCTCCAATAACTCATGCTCTGCCTATTGATTCATCCCGAAAGATTGAAATTAGCATCATCAGTCAAGAACGACTGTGACCATTATAATGGGGATCCTCTTGAGCCCCAAAGTGTACATGTTACAAGTGTGTATTACTTAGTTGAAGTGGCTCACCATTGAGAACGTGCACCGCCACTGAGGTGGAGACTAGACTGCCCAGAGAACAGCTGTAGTCCCCGGAGTCTACTGTCCTGGCGTTGGCGATGAACAGACGACTAGTGGCGCCCTCTGCATCCTCCTCAGTCTTGACACTAGAACACGAAGAAGACCATCAGTACCAGAGTTATGGAGGTATTCACCTTGAAATCGGAGTAATAACCAACATCCTATCTAAACACACACACAATTAATAGTCAATCGCAGTCTTAGTAGTACCATGAACATTTGGTGGCCAGAAATGATATCCAACAAAGGAACAGCTTGAGTTTATCTGGTAAGCTTAAAAATTCCTGTATATGAGGGAAGGAAGACGAAGTAGGAAAAATGGAACACAAGTGAGAAAATCCAGTGATAGCTCTTGATCGGACCCCACGTTACGAAACAGGATAAGGAACTCCAAAGGATGTTTGTAAATTAAGTGTTGGCTAGATAGAGATGGCAGAACTAGGGAAAAACACTTCCAGAGGTCTTATGCTCCAGTGAGATTTTATGAAATAGGCTAAGGAAAAATATAGGTCAAACCAACACACACAGACATTGCATCGGCAGTAACATGATACAGGACAGGTCATACTCTCTTAAATGAGTTCGTCAACAACTGAATGAAAAGTAAATAAGTAACAAGCCAGTCAAGATTGAAATGGAAGAAGTTTTCGTTCGTAATGGTTCGTGCAACTATTTGATCACCAAGAAAACAAAACATATTTTTAAGAATAAATGTCGTTTTGCATTTTTATTTAGTTTAAAAGCTAATTGAAACTACTCACCTAATGCCTCTTCTAGAAGTGTCCGACGAGATTGTCCTAGTGCCATGTCTCCAGGTGATGGCACTGGACGGGTGTGGTACTCTACTAATGATGCACTTCAGCTCTATTGTGCTGCCTGCGTTGTAGAATTTGTTCCTGATGGGCAACCCCCTCTCGTCAGCAATCACCAGCTCAGGAACTGATCAACATAGACAAGTACATATTAAGTGTTTCGATAAATATTTATTTGATAATACAAACTCCTTTTAGCACCAGATATTTTTTTATGGTTTCGTTTCAACTTTTTAGGTTGAAATGAATCCCCTTAGCTGATAACTATTAATTTTCTAAATAGTAAATAACACATTGTTGGTAGATACACAAACAAACAAACACGCACACCCTCAGTGAGTACTCGAACCAGTAAACAGTCAGAATTAAAATCATGTTGTTGTCAAAATTCCTAAGTGATTAAAAACTCGTCAGACGACTCACAGGTTGCAGCAGATGTCCACATACAGCTTTAGCTGTTCATGGTGAGTTGTGCTTGCGTAAATAATAATTGTAATTAAAGATTTTGATAGGTTATTAGCGTTTTCGATTTTTAAGTGTTAACTGCATTAAATTTTGTAGGTAGTTTCAATAGCTTGTGGACTTTTTGCCTCTTAAAATCAAATATAAAAGGCCGTGGGATAGTATGACCAGAAAATACTTTATCGACTGAAATTACTCATCTTGAACAGTTATTTGTCTAATCCACTACTATGAACATAATTTTTATGAACATTTACGAGAAAACAAAAAATAATAATAAAATAGTACTCGTGTCATGTTATTTATGACGTCGGCAGCTCATACATGGACAAACAAAACGAGCAACAGTGTTCAGGGAAACCATTATAAAAGTGGCTCACTTTGATGTATTCACCGAACAGCTAATGTTTGTTTAACCGACAACTAATTTATCGGGTAATTTTAATTAGGGGCATTATTGATGTGTTGCATCAAAGGCTGCAGTGCATCGACCACCAATATATAATACGATACTTTTATCCCAAGTTCGTGTAGCTTTTATAGTGTGGTGGGAATTGATAATATTTTACCCGAACTATTGATTACCAAAGAAATAGAAATTTTATCTAATGCATTTTTATACCGTATAAGGTTTTTTTTACAAAACAACACGCTTCTAAAATACCACATTAAAAACCCATATCTTAATATATAAGTGCGAAAAGCTATAATAATGATTTTTTTTTACATTTCAGTAAGATCCTAGAGCACCTTACATGTAAATCGCAATAAATAGCACAAAACGAAAAATCCACTATAAAATATGATTAATCTGTCTTTAGTTCTTGTTTTTCTTCTTTTATACTATGCTATATTTTGTATTCGTCAAACAAATCAATCCTTTTACACAACCCTGCGTCCCATATATCAGGGACACAGGGCCCTAGAAGTGAAGGAAACCATGTACGATCTATGACAAATGGGCGACTGACCAGTCACCAACACACAAACCTTCTCGATTTATGTTCTTGTTCATTTTGTCCTCATTTAAATCTTCACCGATGAATTTAATAAATTAAGTGTTAGCAACCTGAAAATACTGATAATTTGATAATTATTGATTTTTTCATTCAGGTTCAATTTTTTTTTATAATTTTCAATTTACCTTGTTTGAAGCTCATTGTGATAAATATATCCGGACACGGAAAGTAAAGTAAGTAAGTGTGATACATAGTTTCGTGGGTTTATTTAGTTTTAGTAAAAGGTAATGTGTTAGAACTACTTGGTAAATACAATTTCATTATAAATTAAAACCAGGAAGCAGCGAGAAAGCAATGCAAATTTTCTTGAGAAGCATACTTATTATCTAATTTATCATGTTATAAGTAAATTGTAAAAAAGGTGTTACTGTATTGTAATACAGTAAGTTGTTTTATCAATTGTATAGTAGTGAAATTGGCTGGGGCTCTCATAATTACTTAATTCATTCAAACACTATCAATAAATTAAATAAAACTACAAATTTATGTTTGACCTTTGCAATTAGATCCAATTCAATTTGTTGCTACAGGTCACAATACCATCACACGTAAATTAGCTTAATTTTACGCCATTAATTTGTTAAACCTTGTCTATTGGCTTTTACAATAACTGTATTAAAAACGAACAAAGTCTATTGGCTTAGAACTAAACAGTTAATACGTTTTTTTTCAGTAATTATTCCAGTAATTAGTAAATTCTCCGCTACATGTGTTGAACAGAACTTTCCGTCCAAACTTCAGAATGTGAAGGCACAGATGTTAATTAAGGAAGCCTCCATGCGGTTGCACGAATGTTAATTGGCCTACCGCACTGCTCTCTTTAAGTAATTAATTTCTTACGCTACTGTGAAATTTGCATGTTAAACGCTTTGCGAGCATTTTTTAAAGGTCATGCATGTTAACGGGCTATGCTGTCACTTGGTTCGTACTCTAAAGTTTCCCAGCTCTAAAAAAGCTTGTCAATTAAATGCTCTGCCATTGCGAGTGCGTGAGATAGACCTCCTTAACTTTAGAAAGGTTATACGTGGAGCTTTGGTAAAAAGGCCACTGTATTCATTGGGGAAACTTAGTGAAGAGCCTATTTACCGATAATAACATTGAAATACACCTACCATGCTATATTAAAATGTAAATATTGTAAATAATGTAAATATACAGTATGTGTTTATTGACATCTTATGACTAATCCATCCTACAGTACGAATGAAGATTTTTTTATAAGTAATGAATCATCCAGTAGGAGTAGTGAATATTTTTTTGGTAAAACAAATAATCATCCGTATAGTTCACTTTATGATTACGATAAATAATACAATTTGTGTCACTCACATTTTTCGAATAACTCTTGTACACAGGTTATTAGATTAGATTAGATTGGATTATTAGATTGTTATAGATTAGTTAACAAATCTAAAACAAAATTTGGTGTAGCTTTCAACGTTGACATCAATTTGATGTGTGTTTTGGAGTTCACATCAGTCTTACCTTTTATCAATGTCGGTCTCTTTTTCTAAAAATAACCAAAACATTTATAAATACCCTGAATAATTTTGTCTTGAAATGTACAGTGAATGTTCACCTATGACATGTAGATGGACTGTCTGGACGATGGGCGGGTGAGAGGAGACCTGACACTCGTAGCCGCCCTGGTCACCCTGCTGAGCGGCGGCTAGTCGCAGCTGCCAGTCATTGGGCGGGGTGAGGTGGGCGGCTATCCTCGTGTCCTTGCTGTACACCTCCACTCCGACCGAGAGCAGAAGCAGCTGACCGTCCTGCCGACGAAGCCACGACACCTGGCAATTAAGGAAATATCAAGTGTACAAACAATATTGACAACAAAATAAACGATTTCTTGATAAGTGGTAGTTTGGTCGTAAAACTAACAAATGAAGGTTTAAGATACCTGTTGTCTGTTGACGACAACAAAACAATCCATTGAAGTATAGTTAACGGTATGATCAACCAGTTAATTGTACTACAACCGATCTTTTTGAAAGACAATATCTTACTTAAACCTGCACTTGTTAAAATAAATTATGCCACATGTACGTGTACTAGCATTGAAGATATCAAGTTAATTCGTTTCCATTAAATATTCCCTCGTCTTTGGTCTGCAACAGTGAAATGCAAATAGTGTGTAAAAGTCGAAGAATACCTTTGAACACCAGTAGTAGTGTAGTCAGTGAAGCTTTGGGATTTTACTAATCAAGGTTTAATAGTTTGCTTTGTTTGGCAAAGGCTTGGGTAAAAGTCTCTAGTATAGTTTATTTTTTGTCGTATAATTTAAACTATTCAACAAACTAAAATATCTCATCTCATTCACTTTGACCTGCATTTGGTTAAGTACCACGTTACTTACACATATAACATTTATCATCTTTTTTAGCAAATATTTTCATTTTCAAAGTTAATACGTAGCTATGTGTCATCTACAAAATCAAACATTCGTCGATGAAAATGGAATTCCAGGAACTAAGACTAGACAAAGAACTGGATTTCCTCGTTATCCAGTAATACATCGTTTCTTACGTCACCGAAAAGGTTTAATTAATTTCTGAAATGTATATATGTATGTTATCAATAGTTTTGGCACAGTACGCTAACCTGTCTTCCTCGAATCCTGTCAACCAAATATTGACCAAATAAGGCATGTAAGAGTTAAGTTGGTAAGGTAATTTAAAGATCCCAGACATAAGGATTAGATTATTGAGATTAAATCAATATTGCCAAACAAATCTAGTGCCTACGTCCACAAACTGATTCTTACACACTAACATTTTTTTTTTGTTTAGCATTACCGATGCGTCGTCCACGAGGTCGTTGACTTTGCAGTGGAACACGACCGGGTCTCCAAGCTGAGCTGTGAGGTTGGTGGACAGGGAGGTTGTCTCGAAGTACGGCAACACCCTGGGTGTGGTAGAGACTGCAGGGGCGGGGGAAAATGTGGACTCGTAGAATAACATCTGTAGTAGCGACTCAATGTTGGTGTCGTCATGACCTGGAGACATGACTTAAGCTTATACAAGTGAAAAATAAAGATAGGGAATGACCTACTATACGTCTATACATAAAAAACAACATCTGCAGTAGCGACTGAAATTTTGGTGGCGACATAACCTGGATACTTTGAAGTTTCCATCACGCTTTGTGAATAATGTCACCCTTTACAACTAAATTGGCTCTATCTTTCTCCACTTTTCACATTATTCCCTGTAGGACAAATTGGATTCCTCAATAAGTTAAGAGTTCTTCCTCGTCTAATTAGTAACCTCAATTTGGTGACCCATTGAATTCTTTAAATTTAAGGAAACCGGATCCATAAAAACAAAAAACCCTAAATCTATAATACATACTCGATTTGAGATTGATAAAAACCGTGCTCAGTCGTATTTAAAATTATCAATAACACTAAACCTCATTATATCCATGCAACAACAATGCTGATCGGCAATGAAGTAAAGAAAACAGGAATACCAACATATGTGCTGGTTTTGTTTTAAAAAGGTGTCTCGCCGTAGTTTTAACTATTTGGGTTGCGTTAAAAAAAAACTCCTGTACATAGGGGATCAAACCTGTCACATTTTGGCCCGATGCTAGGGACTCGCGTTATTTAGGAATCAATATTGAAAGGGAATAGTTTACCTTTTGGGAAATAACAGTGATGCAAAACAGCTGTTACCCAACAAAGGTCCATTTGTGTATATAATACTGAACGGCTTCCAATATTGACTAATAGCTACTGCCCTGAATTAGAGATGCCATAAACAGCACCCAGGGGCTTACAACGGACGTAAATAAACCTTCTGTGAAAGCACTCTGTAAATTGTAGATTCATATGGCTTTTTTCATATGGTGAGTGTGTTAAAAGTGTTCTTAACAAAAATACACATAAAAACACCTTTAACCGAATAGTTAGTACTATTCGTTTAATAGTTACAGTAGGATCATATAGGATGGTTATAGGAATATATATGCAAAGTGTGTCTCTTTGTAATTTAGAGTCGTAATTATTGTGAAAAGAAACAAAATATAATTTATATTAGATTTTGTTTGCAAATAATAACTGAATTAATTTCTAAATGCTTAAATTATTCTACTTAAACCAACGACGTGCTCTGGGGCACTCTCCTTAGCTTCATATAAGCTCCTTAACTCTAAATATTGTTTTGACAGCTAAGTTGTCCACTTAAAAGGACTGAGAGAGAAATTTTCAGATGTGCCTAGAATCAAAACTCGCCACATACAGTTACATACTTTTTCGTGAGTGTGACTAAAACTGTACCTGACAGACAACATACTTTTTTCACAACAAATTCCTAAATCTTTTTTATCGAAGTCACAGCTTATGACAACATATCAACCATATCAACCATATCAAACTTTTTTACGAAGAAAATGGCTGTTTGAAATTTGGATTTGGAAACTTAAATGAATTCAACCTTTGCTTCAAAGGGTTAATCTTAAAAAAAACTGGTAAAACTAATAGGGTTATAGTGAGTGTAGGGTTATTGTAGTATTATTCTTGTTATATTTTATTGTCATTATTCGTTCCTGTTGTTATTTATTATTGTTGCTATTGTATTTTATGCTGTTGTTGTTTGTTGTTGTTGTTGTTATTTTTGTTATCTTTGTTGGCTACACATTTATATTCAATGTTAATTATATCAAAGATTTATCATTGTTAGTCAACATTGCTCAGATTTAGTTGTTGTTTTTGTTGTCAAGTTCTCTCATTAAGTAGATTCTTAAGCCCCTTTGCATGTTTGGCTTGACCCTTTAGTTATAGGAACATTGAGTAAGCATTATATAAAAAATAATTGTAAATTGGTTTGTTTGGACCGTTGGAAGCAAAATAAATAAATAAATAAACACCTAGGTGTAAACGTATATTAATAAAATGTTTATTTTTAACTATAACAAAAATTGTGTAAAGTAAAAACCTTAAACAATTAAACACTCGGTGAGAATGGCGGGAAGTTACCAAAGCGGGCGTTCTCATTGGCTGCAACGGATGTGGAGGGGTTTGAAACCAATGATGGCGTAAACCACGTTGGATCTGATGGTTTTTGAAACTAAAGCACAATTTTAACATTGTTTTACAGTAGAGGGTTTAGCTAAAAACACTGATGTTTTATTTAAATTCAGCGTGCTGGAATCCATGGGATAGGATGTTTAACTTAATTTGACCAAAAAGTGGATTTGGCGGAGTTTGATACTAGGCTCACCTGAGTGAGCTAAGTTGTCCACTTGAAGCTAATAACGGATATTGTCAATATCTGTATTATGTTCATATTATTGATAGAAAATATACTATTTACTTACATAATTCAAGTTAAAATAAATGTTACATTTCTTTTTTGGACCGGTCTGTTGGTTCATCTTAAATTCATCTTCGTATAGAGATAATTAAACGCTATTTTAACGTACCTGTGGTTGTTACGTTAAAACACGATAAAACGACTTTGCTTTTGGGTATCTTAACATTATGTAATATGTTATAATGGTTCTTTTTTTATTTCAACACAAATTTTGTAAAAGAATCTTTACAAGTTTGCTTGTATATATAAACAATCTTCAAACAAATTAAGTTAAACGTGAAGCTGAGTGGTTTTTATCAAATTAAGTAAAAATTAAGTACTTAACTCTTACTTTAGAGTAATTGTTGAAAACAGTGTAGCTACAAACAATCGATCAAGTACTCCAATAGTTATATTACACGAAGGAAAGTATTTTTTTTGAGTGAGTAATTTGTATTATAATAAAAAAAAACTAAGTCATAAGGTAATAATATCCTTGTATGTGAGAAGTGAAATTATAAGATTCAAAGTTACGAATCAGTATTGTCAAGATACAATATGGATTAACACTTACCTGACTGAGAGTTACAAGATAGCTCACCCAAAACTGCCATTACAAAGACCCACCAAAGCATTGTGTTACGTCATAGCGGGGCCTGCAACATAAACCAACAATAGTCAACACTTAACCAACGCTATATCTATTTAGTTTCATCTAGGCAAATATTGACTCTGCAAGTCTACTGCAACACTAGATACTACATTAATTCATTGACATGAATAAGCCTTATGTTATAGAACATAGCTGATGTATCCGTGATTTACCATGCTATCCCTTGGCTATTTTAATAATGATGTGTTAGATAACACCTGATGTATCAACATATACTACTTCTTATCTCAGAACACTGTATAAGAAATAGATGATGGACATAAAAAATCTAGTAAAGATCTAATGTTGTCTTGTTCTTGCTTTTGTTTACGACGGTGTAATTTTTCAGAGGAGATGAAACAGAGAGTGTTAATGGAACCCTTTTTAGGGAAGGGGTCCAAACTCATAAGTTTTGTGGATAAGCTGGGAATCAAACCCGCCCGTGTACCGAAGTCCGAGACGCCAACCTAGGCTAACAACACACCTACTTTAATTTACAGAGTACTTCTAAAGGATTTTACTTCAGTCACACTTATCATTATGGAGTTTCAGCTTTTCAATGTCTGTAGGATTCACTTAAAACTATAAAACGTATTAAACTACAGTGGACCAAGACCCCCCTCATAGCCGATAATCGTATTATCCGCCTTCGCTTGTAACATTTTTCAGTTTGTTTTAACACCCCTTGTTTTACAAGCAGTTCGGTTTAACTGCTGCTGTCTAGGAATCTTGGCATTTACGCTCTCATGCTCGGCGATGGGAACAATACGCTAAGCTGTACAGGATGCTACGAAAAAAAAGTTATTTTTTATCCTAAAAAGTATTGCAGTTTGTCATATTGGTCTTAGCAAGGTACATCCTATAATACTACTTAAGGCACTAAAATGAAAATTTTTATTGACTCTAGCTTACAACTATAATTTATTCCACTGAAATAATTGGACTTTACCGTGTTTTGGGTTGAGTTTTTTATTTTAGTGTAGTTTATTTTGTAAATAATTCACACATGACTTCAGAATAATGATTATATGATTCCGCATGAACAGCACTTCTTTTTTCAGTTTTTAGGGATTGCCCGTTTTAACCGACCTTTTGAGTTATCCGACCTAGGTCCAGTCCCGTTCGGGTAGATTAAGGAGGTCTACTCTGCAAAATGACAAATATCATAGTGGTAAACAGTTAGTTAAAGTAATATTGTCAAGTAATTGCAGACACCCAAGACCTTGAAATTCAAATTATTCTTCAATTTAATTTTTATTTCAATGTGAAACTGAAATGTTTTAAATTAAGAACTAAAACCAAAATGATTTTTCTGTAATGTTAAAATTCAACCTATGAATTGTCTTGTCTATAATAAGATGGTATAGCTATAAAAGTTACATAGCCCTCATTTCGTATCGCGATTTATAACCGTAATATGCTGATCGATCTAAAATTTACCAAAGTAGGATTGACACAATTTTTGCAACTACTAACTTGCTTTTAATGTAGTAGATTGAATTTCCACACAGTTTGATATGCCATTGCATTTTAGGTCAACTAGAATTCCTAGCGTTAATAACTCATAAAAATTGCAACGTTAAAACTGACTGTACTAAATAGATTAAACATAAATATCCAAACATCAAAACTACAACTTGGAAATGTATCGTTTTAAAGAGACATCTGTGCATTTCAATTTTAGTGTGTAGCATAAATCACCGGATACGTTTACTTATCAATATGTCAGCTGTAATTTCCATTTTATGCTAGATGCCCCAGCCAGGATGAAATTATGAGAATTTGATTGAGATTTTTTGTTACGTTTTACAAACAGATCGCAAAATCGTTTTAATGTTGTATCAGATATTATTTAACGTAGCCTTTAAACTACATACATACGATTTATGTCTAGTAATTGAATTAAAATAGTAACCATTTTCTATCTTAGCTTTGAATTATGGAGAAACGTTTGACGTGTGTTTCTGATTTTAATGCCCAGTTGTCAACTGGATAGTAGAATTGTAGTAGCCCTTCTGTTTTTTTAGTAGAGTTCACAACTAACCTTGTTTATATGTATGGTAGAATTCCAAGTAAAAGTTGACAAATAGATTTTTATATTTAATTGTGGAAAAAACGTTACACAGAAAAATTATGTATCAATAATACACTTTTGTTTTATACTCAGACGGTTAAACGTGTCCGAGTGCCAGGTGTATCTCAATTGCCTACTCTGCGCCTTGATATCTGCGGTGATTAGAACAAGAGAAACCTAAAGTATAAAATTTATCAAACTGTGCTTATAAAAATCTCTTAAACCTAGATCCCTTTTATTTCAAAACTAATTTACACATGCATTGAAATGTACATTGATAAAATATAAAGTATTAATATACTAAAGCCCGACTACCCCAATTATTAAACGCCTCATAGTTAACACACTTTCAAAGCCGTTAACTAGTTTTGAACGACTTTATAACTTCATAAAACATTGTTAGCATTTTCTTCATTTTCTCAATTAATTCAATTCCTTTACCCATGGTTAAACCTGGATCTGTATGTGTACTATATCTCCAATTAATTTATTCATAATACGATATGTACTGTGTTTAGCGAAATACAATTTTACCAATGGGATAAACTAAATTTACTGAGTAGTTCTTTGCTCAAAACTAACTAAAAATGCAGTATTTATTTGTAAACCATAAAAAGAAGTATTACTATAAAAAAATGATTCATTGTGTATTTCTAACGGTATTTACAAAAATGTAAATTCAATAAGGGGATTTTTTTGTAAATAAATTAATTTTTTTATTGAAGGGGTGTTAACAATTATTGTTAGTTTTCTACAAATATTAAACCTATGCACTGTAAAATATATTTGAAAATAAAAACTGCTTTGCATTTGATACGCGAACTTTTGTTATTAGTTTTGTTTTGCTTCTGTTCACCAAATCACAGTTCAGTGACCAGCTATGGATTAAAATAATATTTACTGTTCATTGAAATGAGCATCTATTTGTGTACCCTTTTGTGTGTTTAAGTACACCCATTTGTGTTGAAGTACATCTTGTCTACAGTTTCTGGTCTGTTGACATTGGAATTCTTTTACTCATAGAAACTAACGTTTATATATCTATGGTCATTGCCCATAATGAAATATAAAATACACAGTTGATTATCTTTGATATGAAACTGCATTACCAACTTAACCTGTGAAAGAAATTAAAATTTAAAACTTTTAAACAAAGATTACCCAATGTTTAGTTACAAATAATAGCGTCGTCTGCTAAAATCTTTGCAGTAAAAGACATCAACTTTCCCCATTAGTAAAAGGTTTGCCAAATTAAGCTGCTGAGCGAGCAAAGTTTTTTAATGCGTCTAAAAGCCTTGAGTGTCCGTAGTGTCTCGACTCTGGCCAAGTCAAGCTGGTAAATTGTCTCTAGCTTCGGCTTTCCACTGACTTTGGCAACAAATTAGTTACTAAAATTTTTTACAACTTTTAAAATTAAAATGAAACTTATATATTCAAAATATTAAATAACTGCCGCATGCATAATGGCTGCCTCTGGGTAACGTCTGAGTAATTAATTTACTTCACCAACATATATTTTTATCTAGAACCAATCAAGTACAAAGACAAAAAGACACCATGTTCATAATGTAGACTGACATTATGCTAGGCTCGAGAAATGTCCTGCCCCTCAGAGTTGGAAATAATCTGTCTAGAGTTGTCAAAACATTATATCATTTAATAATCTAGAATTAATTTACAAAACAGTAAGCTCCTTAACAATCTACACTGCACACCAATCTCCCTCCTCTCCCTCGCTACGTGAGTTGAGAGTATTTTTCGTTTGTCGCTTTTAAAAGATGGCAACATTGTTTATTCCGTCACCTCGATAATTCAGCTCAGCTACAAACCATCTTTACGGTAAAGATCATTTAAAACATTTGTTTGAGCACATATTTTTTGTTAGATGTCACACACAAAAACAGTAAAGCATATTTAATGTTGAATCCATGTTCAAAGTGTCTTTCCGAACTCTGGACAAGACCGGGCGATTGCGTCATCATTTCCCTCTAGTTTCCAGCAGCACTTCTTGATAAGTTGCACAAATAACTAACTCACCAGGTACATTGGGAAAATTTTATCTATTTTTATCGAATTTGGTAAATGCTGTATTTATGCGTATTGACGACGACGATGCGTTCTAACAGTTTTGAATAAAAACTTGCCATAACATGAAACCTATTTAAAATATTAAACATGCAACGGTGTCATATAATATATGATGCAAAACGAAATTGGATCTGAATTTAATCACAGGGACTTAAGTATTACAAAAATCTAGAGGTCACAGGTTTTATAATGTTACTCCCTTGACTTCGTGGACAAATATGTGTTCAAAGACAAATAATAACAAACAAAAATATTCATAGTAGGCTACTTGTCATGGTTATAAAAACGTATTATGGTAAAAGCCAATTATCGTTTTACGTTAAAAATAAAATGTAAACACAACCAAAACTATATGTGTTGTTTTTGACAGCCAAAATTATAAGAATGGAAATATTAACCAGACATGGAGATATCTCGCAGAATGAATATTAAAAACACGTAATGTCCCTTTGCCCTTGAACTAAAATTTAAATTCCCAGGACAGTGAAATAGCTGCAAAACAACGCATCATTCTGCAAGTAGAAACGTGCTTTACATTTAGACTAACGCATTAACCATTTAACCCTGGTGCTTAGTTCAACAATTTCAGGCCGGACAAAACAAAATTATTCATGTAATTTTTAAAGCTTAAGTATACACACAAAAAATAATTTACCCGCAATCGTGTATTAAATCAATAAATCGTATTGGAAACCGAACAACTCATTTCACTATTCTTAATTTATCAATGTATAAGCCCTCACGTGGACTGGACACCAACAAAATCTCTGTAGCTTTTGAAACCATAAAAACATGTGTTTTTTTTAAGGGGAGGGGTTAATCTATTGGTTTAAATAAGGGAC